TAAAAGAATACAATAAGAAAACAATCATATAGAAGTTACATAAAAAGCAATCCCCTTCCCAACCCCAAGTCCCAACATTAACAAAAAACAGTTATAACGTAGAGTAAAATCGACTACAAAATTATCCCAATAAATTGGCTAAAATGTCAGTTAAAACTAGCAGGAGAACTGCTAGTTTTAGCAAGGGGTCCCTATAGCAAGTACTTCCGTCTTGTCTGGATTCAACATGAGTTTGTTGTTTGAGGATGATGATGATGATGATGATGATGATGATGATGATGATATCTCACAAAACTACAGATCCCAGAAATCCCATAGCATTGAGCCATGGCGGTTAAAGTGGTGTCAACCTGGATTATCTCTGCAGTGCAGATGCAGCCGAGGTGTCAGTTTTTGTCCCTGGATTTTCAAGGCCTGAGATGCTTGGCCTGACAGCCCTAAGAAAATGTGGTGTGTCTGTGTATTTGTGTGTGAAACAGAGAGAGAGAGAGAGAGAGAGATTGCATGTGGATCACGCTTGTGCTGAAAACCAATGTTTTTCCCCACTGAACTCCCTGGAAAAATGTTGCAAAGGCCCAGCAGTGTAGACATGGAGGCTGACTGCCCTTGTACTTTGGATGCATTTCCTTCGCTGCCTCCCCGAATAAAGAGAGGGAAGGATCCGCACTCTTTCCTCTCGGGAACAAAAAGAGGCAGAGAGTTCATGTACCACACATGATGCTATGCTTCCTGCAGCTGGAACTACAGAGCCAATATAGCAGCTAAAGTCCATTTGAGAAAAGGCGGAGGGGAGGAGCAGGCGTTTGAAAAGCAATTCCTGAAGCTCTAGCCAGGGATTTCCTTCCACATTTCTTGGCCGAGACATTCATAATGTCAAACAAACGGGAAGTAGGGAACGGTCTTCTCCGGTTACTGACACCAGTAGTCCCACTTTGGGCAACACTCAAACTATCAGGGACCCTCTGAACGCAGGGCTTGGAAATACAGTGGTCCCTCCACATTTGCTGGGGTCAGCGGCACGGGACCCCCATGAAAGTGAGAAAACTACAAATAACCAAACACAACTCTTTTTTTTTAATTGAGAGACCACCTTTCTAAATCCTCCAGTGCAACCCTGTGGTCAACATCTGCCCAAGGTTGACCATAAAATCACGCTGGAGGACCTACAAATGGCTAGAGACATGTTTCCTCCAGTAATTGCTAGATCCTCCAATGCAACTCTATGGTCAATTCCCAGGAGAATTTTTTTCTGAAGGATCCAGGGATTCCTGGAGGGAACGTATTAATCAAATCCGCAAATAATCAAAACCACAAAAGTCAAAACCGCAAGTGTGGATGGCCGACTGTAGTTACTTTTTGGGACTGCAACTCCCATACCTCCCAACATTTCAGAAATGAAAAGTGGGAAACATGTGGCCATGCAACACTAGAGTATATTCAAGCCGGGAAACGTGATTACGGACAAAGAATGCACAAGCTAGAAGAATCTGCAGCAGTTTGCTATTGCTGGAGTCTACTGGGAAGGACAAAATTCTGCTGCTTCCTTTCTTATCTCCCTCCTGAGTTAGATGAATGCAAACTACTCTTGTGCTTTGGACTCAGTATGCATTGTAATGTATCTGTATGGTAATTTTAATGTTGTAAGCTGCCCCGATTGCTCTGCAGAGGGGCAGGATATTATTATTATTATTATTATTATTATTATTATTATTATTATTATTATGCTGCAATGGAATTAAGCTAAGCCCTGAGATTCCTCCTCCCATCCTGAGGATCTGAAAAGACAGACCAGCCTCTAAGATCTGGGAATCCTAGTTGCCACTGTTGCCAGATCCCATTGACAGAAAAGCCTTCCAGATCCCATTGACAAAAAAGTGGCTCCGCTAGGAAAAATGTTGTTCAGGACACCCTAAGCCTTGGACATGCCCCGAAGTCCAGTGCTGGAATTGCCTGAGCTAAGAAAAAATATTCTTATCTCATCCAAGGTGGCTTTCTGTCTTATACACAAAAGATTCGCTTTCTCCCCAGCTGCCAGTTATCCAGCTTTCTTCATCCTTTCTAACATTAAGGCTGACAGCATCCCATGAGCTGCTTAGCCAGCACAGCTTAGAAGTGATCAGAGAGCAATAACAGTGGAGCCAAGAAGAAATCTTGAAGATCCGTCCAGATGTTGAGGGTATTTGAGACTATACTGAAAACTAGGGCAGGCAAGAGACTTGCATACGCAGTAGGATTTCACACCCCTAGAAAGTTGGGATGAACATATGTTGTCGTTGTATGCCTCCAAGTCGTTTCCAACTTATGGCAGCCCTAAGGCAACCCCATGACAGGGTTTTCTAGGGCTGAGAGTATGTGACTCTCCCAAGGTCATCCATTGTGATAGAATTCAAAGATATAGCCATGTTAGTCTGTAGAATCAGTATGTAGGGAGATCTTGTAACACCTTTGAGACTCACTGAAAGGAAGAAATTGGCAGCATGAGCTTTCGTAGACTTCAGTCTACTTCCTCAGATGCATTTTAGCATCTGCTTAACCAAGGTCATCCAATGGGTTTTAATGGCCAAGCGGGGAATCAAACCCTGGTCTCCAGAGTTGTAGTCCAAT